GTTGGGCCCTGGTGCACAGGTAGGCCTGTTTAGGCCTGTTCTGTTGGTGCCTGGTGCTTCTCTCTGTTAACATGGGCTCTTCTGGTACTTTCTGTCGCCAGAGCCATAGTCTGTGCCCCAGCGCAATAGGAATCTCTGCCATTTTTGACGGGAATTAATCACTTTCATCATCTGCTTTGAGAGCTTCAGATGACTTCCAGGAGGGCAGAGGAGTTAATAATCGTGCATTTCCAAGTAGCTTGCCGCCTCCGAAAGCGTAGATGTCATCAGCAGGTCGCGTGTGACCTTTTCTGAAAGCTGACCTAGATACACAGCAGCTCACACTGCCGCCTTTGCCCCAGCAGAACTTCACCCCTCTTTCTGCAGGAAACTCTTCATTTTGTCGATTATTCGACCCCTGAGTACTAAGGACGACTCTGACTCTTCCTTCCTTCCCATGCCTCGAAGCGCTCCTTTTGACGGAGGTCCGCGGCCTGTGTGTGTGTGTTAGGAGCGTGCCGCTCTTTCGGTCCGGTACACATATGTACCACACGAATGCAGCAGATTCGGACCCTTTGTGTGCTTCCCGTAAGCAGCATTGAGAATGGGCCGGATGAAGCCGCACCGCTCGGCGTGCGTGTGAGCGAGCGTCCTAATGTGACGCTGAAAGCTGCTGATGTGAATGCAGCACAGATCAGGTAGAGCTCATTTTCTAAACGTGTACCTTAATGGATATTTATTTTATGGACTTGTATTTGTAATTTTTTTTTTTGGTTTACTTTTAGTAAAATTTTAGGGTTTTATCAGTAGGTTGTAGCAGTATTGACAGAGACTTTGTTTAAAAAAGTCAGTCATACTTTGTTCAGTAAATCACTGTTTAATAAAGGAAGAAAGAAGCAGTTTTTGTTTCTTTTACCCCCCCTGCTGTACCGAAAATGTACCGAACCATGATTTCAAAACCTGTGTGTGTGTATGTGTGTGTGTGTGTGTGTATGTTTGTGTGTGTATGTTTGTGTGTGTATATGTTTGTGTTTGTGTGTGTGTGTGTGTGTGTGAGTATGTTTGTTTGTGTGTGTGTGTGAGTATGTTTGTTTGTGTGTGTGTG